AACGCGCGCGTTGGGCGTGATGCATCAGCGTGGACGGATGTTATCGGTTCGCATGGCATTAGTTCAGCGAATACGAACGGCGACAGGCTGCTCTCACTGTGTGCCACTCACGGCCTGACGATCACGAACACACAAATTGCACTGAGTACGAGTGATAAAGCAAGTTGCACGCAGCCACTTAGTGCTCATGCTCACCTGCTCGACTGTCATCGTACGTCAGCGTGATATGCGTGAAGTGCGCATGACATGTGTACTGCGTGGAGCTGAGTGTGGCACTGATCACAAGTTGGTGCGGACCAAACTGTACGTCTATTTTCGTAAATCTATGTAGTACACTTCCGCCGTGAATGGGTATAAATTTAACATTCCCTCGGTATTGGGGCGATACGTACTGAGCTGGAGAAGGCGATGGCTGCACGCCTGTGTGATGTGAACTGCATAGCAACAGTGGGCGACCTGTGGCACCACATTCACGACCAGGTGACGGCTGCTGCCGAGTAGACCGTCGGGCGCGCAAACTGCAAGCGGCCTGATTGGTTTGATGAGAACAATGCGACAATCGGCGCATTGGTGTGTGAGAAGAATGCAGCAGTTGCTGCACATGCTGCAGACCCCAGTGACTTGGGGAAGAAGAGTCAGTTTCGCAACTTCGACGGCGACTGACCCGAGAGCTCCGTCGCATAAGAAATCCATGGTGGACGGAGAAGGCGAAGCAGAAGGAATGCTACGCCGAACGCCGCCAACACAAGGAATTCTTTGACTCATTGAAGGCGGTGTATGGACCGAGATTGGAGCGGCTGAGGGCACTGATCGATGGTAGTTCAGGCGCTACCTGGACACAGAATGCAGACATAATTCAGATCTGGCGAAATCAATTTGACTGTCTCTTGAACAACCGTTCAGAGATCGACTGGCCTACATTGAACTGCCTTAAGCAGCACGATGCGAAGACGAGTCCGGCGGACACGCCGACACTGAATGAGACGCGGAGAGCATTTGTTCAGATGCGAAACGGCACATGTGCCGGAGCCGACGGGATCCCGCCTGAAGTATTGAAACACGGCGGACCCGCGTTATTGACTGCGCTGCACCACTTGGTACAACGTGTATGTATTGTGGAGGAGGTGCCTCCTGCGCTGAAGGATGCCGTTGTGCTACCACTGTACAAGGGCCACAGGAGCAAGCAATGTTGCTCGAATTATCATGGCATTTAAATTGCGGAGTTGTGTGGGCAGCGTGATTGCTCGAATCCTGCTCAACCGCCTCGTCAGTCAGGTTTTAGAACCGAACGTGGCGGAAGAGCAATGTGGATTCCGCTCGGGTCGCAGCACTATAGATATGGTGTTTGCGGCTCGTCAGTTGCAAGAGAAGTGTAGAGAACGACTCCAGCCGTTGTACTCGCTTTTTGTTAATTTCACCTAGGTATTTGATACGGTGAACAGCGAGGCATTGTGGCTGGTGTTGGGTACGTTTGGTTGCCCGCGTAAGTTTGTAAGTTTACTTGAATGTCTGCACAGTAGTATGCAAGCGAGGGCGCAGCTGAGTGGAGAGACCTCGGATAACTTTGCAGTTGTCGCTGGTGCGAAGCAAGGCTGTGTCTTAGCTCCTGCCCTGTTTAATCTATATCTTCATGCAATGATGTCTTGTGCCCTTGATGCGACTTGTGCTTACGGTGTTCGTGTGGAGCACCGTATTGATAGTGGGTTGCTGAACATCCGTCGTTTCGGTGCGAGAACTCTAGTCTGTGAGACAACTATCCGTATGTTGCTGTTCGCTGACGACTGGGCGTTGTTTTCACCCAGCGTGGATGTGTTGCAGCATATGACTAGTGCTCTGGCTTCGACAGCGGCCAAATTCGGGCTCACCATCAACACAAGCAAAACTGTCTGTCTCTTTCAGCCTTCACTGGAGGTGCAATCTTCAATATTGCCGCGAATCAGTATTGGTGCTGAAGTATTGGAAATCACCTCCCGCTTCTGCTACCTTTGGAGTGTGATGTCGACTGACCAGCAGCTGCACAGTGAGCTTCGTATCCGCGTGTCGAAGGCAGCGGTGGCATTCGCGAAGCTTGAGTACCAAGCGTGGAACAACCATCAGTTTGGCATTGGCACGAAGCTGATGGTGTGCAAATCCATGGTGCTATCTGTTTTTCTATAGGGCAGTGAAACGTGGACGATGTACCGGCGGGATGTGCGATATCTCGAGCGGTTCCATCAACAGTGCTTGCGACGGATTTTACGCATCGGATGGGGCGACAGAGTTGCAGACACGGAAGTGTTGCGCCGAAGTGGGATGTATGCAGTGGACTGCATACTTTTTCTGAGATACCTGAGATGGCTCGGTCATGTGAGCCGTATGGATTCGACGCGGATATCGAAGCAGCTATTATATGGTCAGCTGAGTATTGGAAGGCAGCATGTGGGGAAACCAAAGTTACGTTACCATGACATGATTAAAGTGAGCCTCAGACGTTCTTATCTTGATTGCAGATCATGGGAATCGAAAGCGGTTGATCGGGTGCATGGCGCGATCTGATCACGAAGGAAGTTGCCGAGGTGCGGGAGAAAGCCCTCATACATGCGGAGACGAAGCGGCAAGTGCGGAAGCGGCAAGCACCGATGGCTTGTACTCCATCGACATCGAGCGCATGGTGCTGTAGCACATGCGGTCGCGAGTGCCTGAGTCAGGCAGGCCTAGTGAGCGATGCGGGAGGTCAATTGGGACCACTACCGAAGCGACGACGGGTCCTGCAGAGAACGTAGACAGAACCAGCGCAGCTTTTGTAGGTACGCTGCATTCGCTTTACTAACCGCGTGCTTGCATGCTAAGTCTCTTTATTTCAGGTGGTGGGTTTTCAATTTTGCCTTAATGCCTTTCTTTCTCAAATAAATGTCCAACCGTACGCTCTTCTATAAAGCTGCACTATTCGCTTAAGCCAACTGTAGTTAATTTCGACAACATTTTCGTGTTTGTGTCATTTCCGTAAAATAAACTTTCTGACCTCTTGAACTTATCTCGGATCCTTTATTAACGACTTATCTCATATATTCATTAATTTAAGATTCTTGTCACGTTTCGTTATCCAATATTCGATTTGTTTTCCTTGCTATCTTTCTTTTAAGTGATTGGCTGTTACTTGATATCCCCGGCATGGCTGCGCATGATGTGCATGTTGACAAGGTGCCTACTTGTCTATTATCCAATACCTCGTCCATACTGGCTCCAGGAGACAGATGGTCGTTGCTGGAGGGGACGAGGTGCACGGTCCTTGTAGCCGTGCTAGGCTCAAATAGCGGTTCCATGCAGTCAGTGTGGAGTTGACTACGGTCCAGCCACCGCCTTGTGTGCGCTTGGTTCCCCAAATACAGCGTGCTTGTGTTTGCCTGTGAAGGAGTGTGGGCCGGCTCCGTTGATGAAACGTGGATCCCATCCACATGCCTCCCGGTCTTATTCCTTCGGGTTTACACTGGAAATGGGGTGTGTGGATGGAGCAGGTGAGTGATGCAGCGCAGCCACCTATGGTCCCTCTGTAGGCGCAGGCGTCCTGTGTCTGGCCACAGTGACAGGCAAATCCGAAAGCGGATGGCGCCAACCATATATAGCTTGTGCCACCTTCTTGGGATAAGTGTCATTCCACCTACCTTGAATCTGAAGGATAACGAGGCTGAGTTATTCTGGCTTCGAGCCATTGACCAATCTGACACCATCCAGTATTTCTCAATCGTTTGACGAGATACGCAAACGTTTCACCAAGCTTTGGTCCACTCCCGTTGCCATTGTAAGTACTCAGCTCTAACTGATCGCTCGGTTGAGTTTAAAAGCTACTAAAGGTATTCGCATCACAGTGCGGATTTGCCTGCTACCAATACCCGCAAACAAATCACTGCTTTTTACGCACTGATGATCTCACCTCAAGAGGTTACGAAACGTTTGCATCCAATTTGCTCGGCTAGACTGACGACCCTACACCTGAACATCCACATCTTGTACATGCCACGATGAAGCTAATCGAAAGCATCCCGATTCACTCACTCATTGTGCGACTTAATGATGCAGTCAAAGATCTCCAACCGGTCGTCATGTATGTTCTAGGCAGTATACTCAGATGGTTCACCACTCAATAACAAAGTGTCTATCGGTTCCTCAACTACACACGTTAGTTTACCTCCACCCTTGGTTTATCGCCCCAACGCTCACTGCTGCACTCTCTATTGGTATTGACGGACCCAGTGCATTGGTTACACTTTCCTGGGATTTTACTTTACTAATGTACATGAATATTGTCCGATGTAACTGCACCTGGGTCGATGAAGCATCCACCACCCCAGGGTGACAATCGGCCATGGCCCTTACTCAGAAAAAAGCTTTCAAATTCATCTTTTCCACGAATATTTGCAGGTGCTCCGATAAAGGTGTATTCCTAGTTCACACCGACTAGAGATCATAGTTTTTCCAAGACTAATTTTTAAGGTAATCTACTCCGATGACTCTGATTTTAACATTCTTGTTGTAAGTGCACTCGGATTCTAGCCTGAAGTCAGTTGGTCAAGTGAGAGCCATACATTGGTTTCGCTGCACTATCCAGCTTTATTTGTCGATGCCCAAAGTTGTTTGACAACCTTTGTTAGTCGACTACAATCTTATATCTGTGTTAGATTCGGTTGCAAATCTATCCATTTAACTTTCATCGTTTAGTTAACCGGACATTTAAAGTATACGTGAGGTGTGTAGCACACGTGTTCTTTTTACAGCTCTATCGCGTCGTTGTTTATTGCTATACACGTTGCCACTGGACCAACACAAATTTGATGGAAAACGCTAACGGTGACATAAGTTTTTTAGTTGACAACACAACAGGCAACTGCATACTATGGTTTGCCTGTAGCAATTTTAAACGCTGACTCACAGGCTTCAAGTTACATTTGTAATCCAACGTTCCCCCAGCGTTTACTGTTGCGGATGTGCGCGTAAGTTGCTCACAGACAAATGAGGCAAAATCTCTACGCGCTCTGTTTTGTCTTGTTCTTCTCCGCCCGAATAGTCCGCCAGACACTTGGTCGTGTCGATTGTTTAGATGGAACGTGCAACGCAGTCGGAGTGGATCCCTTTTTCTTCTCCATCTTTTTGCCCTTCGCAACTGATGGTCGGGAACATGATTTTTGTTCTTTGGGGTTTTGCGGTTCCGTTGATTTTTCCACCGGCACCTCAGGAACAGCAGTTGCCTCTGCTACATTCCCTTGTTCCTTAGTCTCCTCTAAAACGGTGTTATTTCGATTGTCATTATTGTTCTCAATCTGTATCGCTTGAAGATTTACGCTCTTGTTTGGTGCCGTAGGCGGCGACAGCGAGACATTTCGACTCGGGCTGGACCAATATACCCGGTTATTGCTCACTCCGTTTCTCTTTTGTATCGTTCCCGGAATAATACTTACACCAAAACTGGATCTGCTTTGCCCACCACCACCACCACCATCACGGCGTTCAGACTCTTCCGAGAGACAGCGATTCTCCATAGACTCTGTGTCATTGTGCAACACTGCACCCTCTTTAATACCTCGGTTTGGCAATACAGTACTGGGGTTATGAGTGTAATACTCCGCGTCTCCAATTGCCCCACTGACCGGCATGACCTCCATCATCCTTGGATAGTCCAGATTGTATAAGTTTTCGGAATAATCTACCAAACCCAGGGCGTGACCGAGTATTCCTACTTCTTGTCGTATTTCGTTGATTTGTGGAGGTTCTAACTCACAAATGTCATTCCCATCATCTTCCAGAAAGTCCACAGGTGCCACAGTTTGTGAGGCCGAGAGCTGTTTGGTAACTATTTTTGAGAGCCCTATAGCCAACCAGTAAGGGTGAATTACCTGATTCTGGTCGATATTTGGTGGAGGGAAGAGAAAATCATGCAACAGATCGGTGTCATACAGAGCTGTGGTCAGCAGTCGGAACAGTCTCTGAGCTTGTCTGACCAAACAACGGTTCCGCACCCTCTCCAACCAAAGAGTGAGCAGACACAGGCATGAGTCTCGATCAGCAGCTATTCCCAGCAGTGCGGCATCTTTTTCCGCACCACTCAGCCGATCGATCATTTCTGGTGTCATCTTCCGCGAAGCTTGTGGTCTCGCGCCTTTCCGAGCAACCAATTCCGGGTCATAGGTCACAGGACCTTTTGTGACAAACTTTTGGCGAAAGAATCCGGCGGCAGCTATGTGCTCCAGTAAACCGATAAGGCGGTTTCCGCAGTTCGAATAGCTTCTGCTTGCTCCTTTTCGAGCTAAGCGATGGAATACCGAACACCACACCTCTCCTTCGGGGGTGATGTTACCGTTGTCCGTCAGAGTAGGCCGCACGTCGTAGACACAGGGATCATAATTGTATGCCACAGAGTTTGGTGTATCAGTTAAAGTACGATAGCTGATCGTCTGCAGTAGTCCAATTACATCCACTCCGGGTCTGGTGTTCAGTAGCTTTACGCAAAAATCAAGCAGGTCTACGAAGCAGTGAGTTGTCTCTCTCGTTGTGCCTAGTCTTTCAATTATCTTAATAGGCTCTTGTGGACAGAAGCCGGCCGACATCAGTAACGTGAGACCTGTGAAAAACTCTCGCCTCACTGCAATTACCGCCGGATATGTTGTTGAATATTCATCCATTACGAACGGCCCAGGTCTTGGCTTTGTGCGTCTCACATAACACGTGGCATTCACCACGACTTCTTGACGCGCACGGGCGTGTATACGTGTACCGGAAGAGTCGAGTAGCAAACGAAGTACCGATCTCAGGCGCAGGTATATGGCAATTGCTAAAGGGGTCAAATAAAGAACAGTCTTTATTCCATAGGCAGGCATTCCTGGACCGGTCCGCGCGTCGATATACAGATGGGGTTGATCGTATATTTCAAAATAGGCGGACAGCAAACTTGGTTGTACATTGGCAAGATTCACCAGGTGATGCAGACCATTTCTACATCGCATTTGATTTACAAGCCATCTTGTGACTTCGTGATCTTTAGGGTAATATTTAGGCAGGGAATCACGAGATTCTTGCTCATTTTGAGTATCCGTGTAGTCGCTTGACAAGCGCTGGAAGCCCGTGGTACTCTCTGTAGATGGTCTAGAATCGCGCCTGAATTGATGGGCCATAGTCAAGAGTCACTGGTGGTGTTTAGATGTTCAGCGTACATGTCTCATGAATCTACTCTGGTCAATGGCTACAACATCGACCGATTGATTCAAAATAACCACAACTGTAGTGGTCACATGAGCTTCCAAATAATCCCGTTGTGCTAACCCGACCACTCACAGGTATTTGTGCGATCCGTGAGTGTTCCTAAAGCATGTGTAAAGGCAACTGGTCGATGAGGTTCTCCTCGACTGTTGTTATTGTTTCTTCTCAGGCTTTATTGCTGTCACTTTCTTCCGTGTTTTCCTCACTGTTCTATCTGACTCACGCCGATAGCGAAACTAATCACAATGACTGGATCCGAAATCTATTCAGTAGGCCACCATCCTTAGCAGAAAAACAAGTCCTCACTAAAGGGCTCAATTACAATTTCAAGGATGCTACGACTACAGATTTTCTCTCCGGATTCGAAAGTGTAATCCAGTCCAGCGGGCTTGACGATTATACACAGAAACAGCTGAGAGCTACAATTATTCCAGTTGTAGCACATAACAAGCAACATACTTTTCTATCTCAACTGGAAATGGATGCAATAAAAGCCTTGAAAGCTGATGAATCCATTGCCATTTTACCTGCGGACAAGAGGCACGTGACGGTTATATTGAATAAAACAGCTTATGTCAAAAAAGCAAAACAGCTTCTGAGCGACACAACAATCTACAGCCTCATCGAAAACAACCCAACTGACAAACAGAATAAACAGAACGTTGAAATTACTCCAGGTACGGAACCAGATCACAAAGGAAAAACGTGTCCGATGATGGCCCGCGATCCAAACATAGCGCAATTCTACTAGCTTCCAAGAATACATAAAGACGGTGCACCAGTAAGACCAATCGTATGGCTCCCATGCACACCTACGTACAACCTAGCAAGAGAGTTGTGGAGACGTCTCAAGCACCTAATAATTGGATCACAGCACTCTATACATAGTGCACAACAATTTCTGGAGAGGCTCAAAGGGCAGTTCGTGACTTCGGCCTGCGATGTTCAGTCACGTTTAACTTTTCTGAACACTATGGCTTTCAAGTTTCGAAAACCATGAAGACCATCGTTTATATCTGTCATCATTTTTACCTCACGGGGTCTCGCATATCGCTTTACAAAACATATGTATTGCCGTGTATGGAACACTGTTCAGTGGTACAGTCTAATCTACGGAGATCTGACCAGCACGCTCTTGAGAGCGTCCAGAGACGCTTCACGAAAAAGTTATGTGGATATTCCTCAAAGTTGACCTACAGGGCAATGTGATAAACTTGGATTTGACCCCGTTTGGCTTCGGATACTGAAGCTGAACCTATGTTTTTTTTACAGAATCTTAAATTGTCAAATTCGCAGTCTTGAAGACGGTGTTCACATATCTTTAAACAGCAGTTATCCAATACGTAACAAAGTGGTAAAGATCATAATTCCAAAATTTACTACGAGTATCAGAGAATCTTTCTTTCTAACACAATACTCAAAGGTTTGGAGCGAACTTCCAAATGATATCAGAACATGCTATACACTTTGCTATTAGTAAGCATTTAACTGTCCAAAACGTGACTAAGATCAATTGTTCATTTGTTCTCCGAGCTTGGCCGTTTTCTCGCAAACGTTACACCCCCATGCGAGGTGGCATCCTCAGTGCAGTGATATGTAGCGTGTAAGTTTACTCTGGTTTACACTGGTTTCAATACATACAGGACATCATTTCGATTGGAACAACGCAGAGATCCTAGCACAAGGAGAGATACGAAAAGGAAGAGAGTTCCTCAAGGCATGGTACTCGATGAAGCACTCGACAAACATGCACCTCGAGATTGACCCGGTTTACGAAACGCTGACGGAGAGAATTAAAACAACTTAAAAACTGTCGAGGGTAGCTAAGCGAGCCGTTAATAATACAGCCGCGACAGCCGGGACAAAACCATCCTACGGAACGCCCATATCTACCAGAGAAGCTGGGTAGACTGATGGTCACGGGGCACAGATTGAGGTCAATTCAAAAGTCACTTGTTACTCTATCACAAATCGACGACCAAGTCAGCCCACTGAGGAAGTCACCTCGCCTGGTGATGAAACGTTTGCATACCAATTGCGAAGCTCGGCGAACAGTTGAACCCAGGAAATATGTGGATGTGATATGCACCCAATCGCCCACGATGGATTTGTTTTGCTTTGCAGCCCTACAAGTCTATTACAATCTCCTGTGTGCATTGGATTAGGAGAAAGTAGAAACGCCTGACCAGTGGCACACCAGTATACCGACACTCACTCGCATTTGGTCCCATTTGCTGAGAAACTTAATCAAAACGTGGTGCTCAACGGGAACTGCCGAACTGTTTAAAGATTGCTGCGTATCCGCTACTCCCCATACTCATGGCCAGTCTTCGGTCGATGCAATGCGGATCTCTTTACAAGCTCGTCCGATTTCAGATCATCAGGTGGTACATGTATGCTATTTTTCTTCATGATTCATTTCGTGGTGGGAAGAAGCGTTAGTTCTCACTGCATCTTCCTAGACCGGGTCAAACAACGCCTTTCAGTGTTCTAGTTACCACAATACAAAGAAACAAAGGGTGTCAAGGGTCTACGCAATTCCTCTGACCAGCATAGGGCATAAGTTGCTCGGAGTTTTCAACTCTATGTGGGGATCCCATTTTAATGTATCAAGTATTGAATGACCACAACGACGTATGTTGCCATTTACTGAAACAGCTACAATATCAAACTGAGAGGTAAATTCTTGAAACTGAGTAAACAATACAGCCGCCTAGAATATCGACAGAATCCCTTTTCACTTTGGGTTTGCCAAAATTGGAACTCGCCCAAACTCAGTTGTCTCATCGTCACCCATCAGTATACACATTAGCTAGTGGAAAGCACCTCAGCTATTGTGCTGCAAAACAAAAGAAAGGAGAATAACATGCAACAGAGGCACGACGGCTGAGTCTCCAGTAACGGATTGACACTGTTCTGCGGAGCTGACAGCCGGCTGTTGTGCTGCAAGAAAGTTACCTTATGCCTAGTAAATGAGATCGTTGTTTGATGGGAGGCTAAACAGCAAGGGGAGGGACAAAAAAACTCACAACACAAACGCTATTGAGGTCGGATCTTAACCATGTCAGCAAATTATTGGCCTACGGAACAACTTCCGGATGGTGCCAACTGGGTGGTGGTGGATGAACCACATGCAAAACGATGATATTAGACGTTGTGGCTTGGGTAACACAGGACTTCCATTTGACAGACTGGTATCGTTGCGCCAACTGAAATGGCTGGGCCACGTTTTACGCATGCCATGCAATCGGCTGCCCCGACGCGCTCTCTTCGCTCACACAGGACCAAGCTGGAAGAAATCGCGCGTTGATCAGCCTATCACGTGGCGACCAACGATTAAAGCGCTAACTTCCAGTTTAGCTGTCGTAGGTCCCCTGCCTCTTCCGGGCTGGGTAATAAAAGCTGAATTACACCGCTGGCTGGAAACTCTTTCGGAGATACCTCAGAACCGGCCTAATGCAAAATGTTTACAAATGCTTGTGTTGACCTTCTCATTCTACATCGCAAACATTAAACAGACACAAAAGGATAAAACGGCGTGTGAAAAAAATAAAAAGGCAAACAAGATTCCAAAACAAAGAAGCTTTTTGTAACTTTCATGCTGTTCTATTTATTTGTGGTCTCTGTATTTATTACTCTTCCTTCATGGTTTTTGCTCGCTCTATGTCTACCTTATAGACTGTTGCTTATATGCTTGGCGGCATCCGGTTTCGGATTTGCCTGTCACTGTGGCCAGCCACAGGACGCCTGCGCCTACACAGGGACCATGGGTGGCTTGCGCTGCAACACCCACAGCTCCATCCACACACCCTATAATCCAGTGTAAACCCGAAGTAATAAGACCGGGAGGCATGTGGATGGGAGCCAGGTTTCATCAACGGAGCCGGCCCACACTCCTTCACAGGCAAACACAAGCACGCTGTATTTGGGGAACCAAGCGCACACAAGGCGGTGGCTGGACCGTAGTCAACTCCACACCGACCGCATGGAACCGCTCTTTGAGCCTAGCACGGCCACAAGGACCGTGCACCTCGTCCCCTCCAGCAACGACCAACTGTCTCCTGGAGCCAGTATGGACGAGGTATTGGGTAATAGACAGGTAGACACCTTGTCAACATGCACATCAAGCGCAGCCACACCGGGGATATCAAGCAACAGCCAATCACTTGAGAGAGAGAGATACAAAGAAAATAACTCGATTAATGGATAAGGAAACGGTGACATAGATCGTAAATTAATGAACATATGAAATCAGCTGTTTACAAACGAATCCTAGATAAGTTGACGAGGTCAGAAAGTATATTTTACGGAAATGCCACGAACACGAAAATGTTATGGAAATCGAATACAATTGGCTTAAGCGAGGTATGCAAGTTAATGGAATAGAGTACAGGTAGACATTTATATGAGAAAGAAAAGCATTAGGGCAAAATTGAAAACCCACCACCTGAAATAAAGAGACTTAGCATGCAAGCACGCGGTTAGTAAATCGAATGCAGCGTACCTACAAACGCCGCGTCGGTTCTGCCTACCTTCTTTGAAGGACCCTTCGTCGCTTCTGTAGTGGTACCGAGTTCTCTCGCTCATGGCTCACTAGACATTGATATGAGAAATAAAGGCTTTAGGACCCAACTTTTGCTTATATATATATATATATATATATATATATATATATATCAACAAACGTATCTAGCCAAACGTGCTCATCTTTCAGACCCCAACCACGCCGCCGAGAAGCTCCCACCGAGGTTAAGTTCGAAGTAAGGGCGTTCACTCCTCTTGACCAAGTCTTCGATTGGCCATCCCTCCTCTTGTTCCATATACATCCCCCGGTAAGCAAACAAGGCACCTCGCAGGAGTCGGTGTGGTGTTGTGCGCAATAGGTGGCCCAGCCATCGGAACGGTTCAGTTCTTC